ATGTCTCAGGCGAGGGCGCCGGTTTGGGATTCGTCACCGGATCCAGCGGATCCAGCGGATCCGTCCGGAAACGGTGCCGGAGGCCGCTCTGGGCTCCTCTGGGCATCCCCCCCGGGGCCCGTTTTGTGAGGATGTCTCAGGCGAGGGCGCCGGTTTGGGATTCGTCACCGGATCCAGCGGATCCAGCGGATCCGTCCGGAAACGGTGCCGGAGGCCGCTCTGGGCTCCTCTGGGCATCCCCCCCGGGGCCCGTTTTGTGAGGATGTCTCAGGCGAGGGCGCCGGTTTGGGATTCGTCACCGGATCCAGCGGATCCAGCGGATCCGTCCGGAAACGGTGCCGGAGGCCGCTCTGGGCTCCTCTGGGCATCCCCCCCGGGGCCCGTTTTGTGAGGATGTCTCAGGCGAGGGCGCCGGTTTGGGATTCGTCACCGGATCCAGCGGATCCAGCGGATCCAGCGGATCCGTCCGGAAACGGTGCCGGAGGCCGCTCTGGGCTCCTCTGGGCATCCCCCCCGGGGCCCGTTTTGTGAGGATGTCTCAGGCGAGGGCGCCGGTTTGGGATTCGTCACCGGATCCAGCGGATCCAGCGGATCCGTCCGGAAACGGTGCCGGAGGCCGCTCTGGGCTCCTCTGGGCATCCCCCCCGGGGCCCGTTTTGTGAGGATGTCTCAGGCGAGGGCGCCGGTTTGGGATTCGTCACCGGATCCAGCGGATCCAGCGGATCCGTCCGGAAACGGTGCCGGAGGCCGCTCTGGGCTCCTCTGGGCATCCCCCCCGGGGCCCGTTTTGTGAGGATGTCTCAGGCGAGGGCGCCGGTTTGGGATTCGTCACCGGATCCAGCGGATCCAGCGGATCCGTCCGGAAACGGTGCCGGAGGCCGCTCTGGGCTCCTCTGGGCATCCCCCCCGGGGCCCGTTTTGTGAGGATGTCTCAGGCGAGGGCGCCGGTTTGGGATTCGTCACCGGATCCAGCGGATCCAGCGGATCCAGCGGATCCGTCCGGAAACGGTGCCGGAGGCCGCTCTGGGCTCGTGCTCTTCGCGCCGGGGGTGAGGATGACGTGAGTTCCACAGAAACTCCCTCAAACAAGATTCTGGCCAAATGCTTGTCGAAGATTTCGCCGAGACTGGAAGAAACGCAGGGGAAAGAAAAAAGTGCATACCGGCCTGGCTTCGGCGCCGAGGAGGCCCTGCACTGCGTGGAGCACCAGGCGGGATTTGCCCACGCGTTCAAGCAGGACCTCTGGATCGTGAGCCTGGACCTCAGCAAGGCGTTCGATAAAGTCTTCCACGAATCTGTTATCGAAGCCACATTGCAGAAAGCTGTAGATGCTGCGCACGCTTCCTTGTTGCAAGAGCTCCACTGGAAACAGACGGGCCAAGTTGCCGCGAGCGACGTCTTTCAGGTCCTCCAGGGCGTCCGCCAGGCCAGGGCGACGTCTTCAGTCCGTGCGTATTCAACGCAGTGACCTCCGGAAGTTATTAAGAAACCCCCCGGCTTCATCTTCGCACAGCACGAAAACATAAAAATTCCACAGAGGGGATTTTGGCCGAACGATAGCTTTAGCACCGTACCAAACAGCAAAAAAATCAGATCCTCCCCCCAGGCTTGTTTTCACACGATTGTTCTCGCGTTAGCGCTGCACACATTCGTTTTAAAAAGTTGCGCGAGCTTCACGGATTGAAGGAGGCTCGCTTTCAAAATGTGGCTCTCGCCTGAGCGACGCGAGCATTCGACTTCAATCATGTGCACGAGTTTCACGGATTGAAGGCGGCGCGTTTTCAAAATCTCGATCTCGCTCTCGCCTGAGCGCCGCGCGCGTTCGTTTCTTTAAATGTGCACGAGTTTCACGGACTGAAGGCGGCGCGTTTTCAAAGTCTAGCTCTCGCCTGAGCGCCGCGCGCATTCTTTGTTTTCAAACATGTGCACGAGTTTCACGGATGGAAGGCGGCTCATTTTCAAAGTCTAGCTCTCGCCTCAGCGCCGCGCACATTTGCTATAAAATGTGCACGAGTTTCACAGATGGAGGGCGGTTCGCTTTCAACATGTAGCTCTCGCCTCCGCGCCGCACGCATTCATGTAAGAAACTGCACGAGTTTCAAGGATTGATGTCGGCTCGCTTTCAACATGTAGTGATCGCCTCAACGCCGACGTGGCAAAGAACGCGCCACGGAACGCGCAGGGGAAACGCCATGGGACGATCCAGGGAACGCGACAGAGGACGAGCCAGAGAACGTGCCACGGGACGCGCCGAGGGGCGTACCAGATGGCGTGCCAAGGCACGTCACGCCAGGCGACGTCGCAAGGGACGCGCCAGTGGATGCGCCAGCGCGCCAGGGGAAGCGCCACGGAACGGGCAGGGGGACGCGCAACGGAACGGGCAGGAGGGCGCCCAGGCTGCGCTGCCATGCGACGTTGAATTGCGATGCACTCTACTGCATAGCGGATCTGAACCCCTGCTGAGATCTCCTAAGACCTCCTGGCGCCTCATGATGCCTTCACGGGCCCCATGAGCCTCATGGGGCCTCCTGAGGCCTCCTGGGGCCTCCTGGATCCTCAAGGGGCCTTCTGGATTCGAGGCCAATCCATATCTGAACATTCAGAAGAATTGCGACCCGCATTTAGGAACATACGTGAAACGCAGCGGGTGTGAGAGCAGACGATGGGAATACCATATTCCTAATGAATATAAGGTCGGTCCATAAGAACCTCCGTAAAGAAAGACTTGAGACTAGCCTATAGAACGTACGCAAAGCACAAAAATGTGCGAGACCCATCTATACGAGCATGCGTAAGAACACGAAGGATCAGAGGCCAGTCGACAGGAACATATGTTAAGCATTGGGGACTTGACACCACTACATAGAAACAGGCGTAAACACACAAAGAACGTGAGACCAGCCGATAGGAGCATAAGCAAAGCACAATGGCATTGAGGCTGCTTCGTATGAAATTTCGTGAACACACAAAAGATTCTTCGCTTCTACAAGAGCATCCGAAACCCCCCAAAAAAACGATTGAAAGCCGGGCCATGGGATTCTAGTCGAGACAGAAAAAGCTTGACACCTGTCTCCAAGAACATACGTAAAACACCAAGGACTTGCGACCAGTCGATCGGAAAGTACATGAACCACAAAGGACACTGAGACAAGTCCAGGCGAACACACGTAAACCTGCAAAGAACTTGAAACCAGTACACAGGAACATACGTAAAATACACATGTTTTGAGCCAGTCTACACGAACGTACGAAAAGCACACTGGTTGTGAGGCCACCCCATGGGAGCAGACGTGAAAAAACAAACGATTTGATATGAATATACCGGAACTTTTTCGGGGTCAACAGGCTCGCGAGGCGTGTCGAAAGCCGTCCAAACACTAGTCGGGCCGCGACTAGGCCGCAGGAAGAAAAAGGCAAGCGAAGCGAGCGACCGGGCAGCCAATCAGGAGAAGAGGCAGAACCGATACTCCCAAACCCTGTGGCGTGGAAATCCTGGTGGCGACCAGCAAGTAAACGCAGCCAAAGCGGGGCGGCGGCGCGGCCATAAACACGCAGAGGTCGAACGCTCGGTGTGAGTCAGGCAAACGCCGTCGAAGAAGAACTGGACCGACAGGCACACCCAGACGACACCCGTGGAGTAGGCGACACAAATGCCGAAACATCGTGTCAGCGCCGGAGTGAAGAGGGGCAACCTCATCACCGGAAAGACTGCTAACGGCAGTAAAAATATACAGGAACACACGCAAAAAACAAAATAGATGTGTGACCACAGTTTATAATAGTAAACGTGAAACACGATAAATCCAAACCAATCCGTAGGAACATACGGAAAACAAACGTTTGTCCATCGGGCCATGATCTCTCGTAACTTACGCTGCGTCCACACTCCCAGGGCTACGACCCCTTGCAAAATACGCGGGACTCCCTCTCTCAGGGCATCCAGGGGCGCCCAGGCCTTTTGGGGCCTCCGACCCCGGTTCTTTGCAAAGGATTCGGAGCACGGGCACGCAAAAAATAATACCTGGCTCACATTCTGTGACAAATTCACTACAAATATCAACGCAGCACTCACGAGGAATCTGCGCAAAACGCTCCGCACGATGTTTCTTACATGGGAAAACGTGGGCCTGCGGACCCAATTATTCATGGAGGATCCGACATGGGGGTGTGTTTTCCTCAGTCTGGGACACACGAAACGCATTTCTTCGACTGAAAACCGAACTTTACCTAGCATACTATCGAGCGATATTCCGCCAGCCCTTCCCTAGCATGACACCCAGGACAGGTTATTGCCATCCTGGAAGAACACCCTGAACTGGCGCCTTTTCCTCCGGGGAAAAAAATCCATCCTTTTTTTGTTCACAACGCGAGGGGTTACAACGGCGGCCAAAGACGAGAACGACGACGACGACGAGGACGAGGAAACGGACGACGACAAGACGACGACGAAGACGACGAACATGATCGACCCATAAGCCCAAAAAAGGATATCGAAATGTGAAGCATGGAAACTGTTCAAAACACCAAGTTTAGATGACGGGCAATCACAGCGCTCAAAGTAGCAATGGTGATGAACAGTGCCAGGAGCTGTGCTGTGCTGTGCCGTGACGAATTTGGATTCGCAATGCCGCGTTGAAGTGCTGTGGTCTTATCGCATTGTGGTTCAGGTCGTCCGTGGCGTCAAAATCCTGATCGAACCGATCTGTATCTTAAGATCTGGCCGCAATCAGAACGCGCGGGACGCTCGACCAACTCGAGCTCAAGATCCGATTCAGTTCGGAAACAGACCGAACCGAAAGGGAGCGAATCTGAGCACTCCTGTGCTCTGCTGCGTCGTGGATCAAATCTTCGTCGGCGGCGACCAACACGACGAAAAAGATGACGACGAGGACAACGAGGCGGAGGCGGAAGAGGACGAGGACGAGGACGACGACGACGGGCAGCAGCCAGCTGCAATCAAGAGTGGCCATAGGAAGAGGGCGAGGCTGGCGCGACGCGTCCTGGCAGGACTCCTCCGAGAACAGCAGCGGCGGGTCGCCCGCGAACGCGGCGGGGCCCGCAGCCGTGGCGTTCACGGAGGCCCCAGAGCGCAGAAAGACCTCTTGGGGGGGGGGGGGGGCGACGGCGGCCAACAAGGGAGCGACGAGGACAACGAGGACGGGGGCAGCAACGAGGACCACGGCGACGACGACGACAACGACGACGACGACGACGACGACGACGTCGACGACGACGACGACGACGGCGGGGCACGGCGGCCAACAACGGGAACGAGGGGGATAACGGTGACGTGGGCGACAACGACGATGACGAAAACGACAACGACGACAACGACGACGACGACGATGGTGACGACAACAAAGACGACGACAGAACACGACAACGACAACGACAATGACGACGACGACCACGACGACGACGACGACGACGACGACGACGACGACGACGACGGCGTGGACGACAACGACGACATCGACGACGACGACGACGACGACGACGACGACGACAGTGTCGACGACGACATAGACGACGACGACGACGACGACGACGACCACGATGATGACGACGACGACGACGACGACGACGACGACGACGACGACGACCACGATGATGACGACGACGACGACGACGACGACGACGACGACGACGACGACGACGACGACGACGACGACGACGGTGACGACGACGGTGACGACGACGCCGCCGTCACCGCCGCCGACGACGACGACAGGCGATGTGCCATTACAAGCATTCAGCGTTTCCTGCAGAGACCTGGATGCGATCCAAAGTTTCCAAACAAAACTGGCACTTTGTCACTTACGGATTGGATGGGTCCAGCGAGGCTACGCCACGTTGCCTCCCGTTTGCGCCTCGTTGCCACCTCACTGCCGCCTCGTGCACTTGGTGAGTCCCGCGGGATTTCGCCACGTCGCCGCCAGTTGCCTCCTCGTTGCCGCCTGGTGCGATGCGTGCGTCTGGCGAGGTTTCGCCACATTGTCGCCCATGCCGCCTCGTGCGATGGGCGGATCCGGCGTGGTTTCGCCACGTTGCCGCCTGTTGCCGCCTCGTGCGCTGGCTGGGTCCTGCTGGCGAGATTTTGCCACGCTGCCACCCGTTGCCGCCTCGTTGCCGCCTCTGTATTGAACCACGTATGCTGCACCACATAGCTTACGCCACATAGCTTGCACCACACAGCTTGCACATCCAGTGCAATTACTTACTGCTATGGGTCCACGCTGGCTAACGTCACATGGGAAAAAACAGACAGCGCACATACGATGACATCGGCTACACGCGAGAGTACCCGGTTTTCGGGGGACCGCGGGGGGACCAAACACAAGCGCGCAAGACGCTACCGTCGCGTCGCGTTCGGCGATCGGGGCTCTCCAATGGGCCCGCATCAAAGGTCACTCTAGCGAAGGCTCACTCTGACGTGCAGTCGATGACAAACCTCGTCGTCGTCGTCGTCGTGGTGGACGTCCAGGCCCATCTTTAGGCCAACATCGGCGTATGCCGAGAGCTTGGCCGCACGTCCTCCTGGCCTGGCCAGGGAAGCGTGTGTGCACCGATCCTGGGCCCACAGGCTGCGCCTGGCCGTGGCGCCGGTGTGTGCGTGTGGCCCCCCTCCCACCCGACGACGAAGGGAAGGAGGGGCGCAAGGGCGAGGGTCTCCCGGCGGCGAGCGAGGGGGGAGGTGCGAAGGAGAAGGCCTTTTCAAAAGGCGGCGGGGCTTCTCAGAAGCCCTCGCGCCTTCTGGAAGGTTTTTTGTGTCTTCGGGGAGGGCTCAGAAAACTTCTCGGAAGGCCAGGAAGCTTCCGAGCCTTCGGAAGAGGCCTTCTCCTTCTCACTTGCCCCCCTCGCTCACCGAATCTCCGAGGGCAAGGACGAGGGCCTCCGAGGGCGAGGTCGAACTTGAGCTTCGGCCAATTTCGCCCGAGTCGAGCAGGCAGCGGCAGCGGCTGGCGAGAGCGCGGGACGAAGGATGGCAGCGGAAAACGCGTCTCGATGGGAACTGGGTCTCCCGCCTCCTGTACTATCGCTGAGACAACTAAGGTACGAAAGGACGAGGACTAGAAATGTAAAGCGGATGACGAGAAGTGGATATGTATGTCGCGAAGTATTAGAGCGATGTCTAAGAGCGGAAGGTGTGTATTATAGCAGGCGCGGAAAAGTCGACCTTGAACCAAACGGCAACAAGCGGAAAAATCCTCCCGCACCCTGCAATCACTGATAACCTACCGTTCGAGACGAGGGCCTCCGAGGACGAGGTCGAGACCGAGGAGCAAGAGGAGGAGGATCAGAATCAGAATCAAAGGTGGGGCGAGCATTCGAAAGAAAAAACAAACCCAAAGAAACGCGGGGCTCTCGGCCCGAGCACCTTATTCTCCGAGTGTCCTGGGCGTGCCTGGGGGCCGCCATCTCGGCCCACCGTGCAAAAAAACGTCGCCGAGGGCAAACCTGGCCAGAACTGGGGTGAGGGGGGGAGCAGAAAGGGGAAGAGGGGAGGAAGATAGAGGGCAGAAATGCACTCCCATAGTAAGCACCCCGACAAGGGAAGCCGTTTAGCAAACGCACCCAAGGAAGGAATCGAACAGGGCAGGGCTGTTTAGTGAACGCCAAGGGCCCTTCATGAAGCGCCAATTGTCGGGGTCTGGGGGGAGAGTCCTCCCTCGAGAAGAGGGGAGGGGGGGGAGCGTGCGAGGCTGAGGCTGAGGAGGACGACGACCAGGAGGAGCGGGAGGAGCCCAAAGCCCAAACCTCGCATCCTCTGGCAGCGCAGGCCGACAGAACATCTGTCGCAGGTTGTTCGCGACGCGACGGGATGCGGCGACGACCGCAAACGATGACGACGCCTACGTGGACAAAGACCACGACGATAGCGAGGTAGAGAACAACGACACATGATTGACCCATTAACCCGGAAAGGAAGATTAACGTGTATAGCAGGGAAGTGTCTTCAAGACACTGGACTGGGCGACGGGCAATTGCAGCGCTGAGCGTGTGTATATACACATAGTCTCATACGCACCTCTCCGAGGGAGTAGAGCTCAGAGGCGATTAATGCGTACGCGCCGCGTCGTTCGCGATTGTTCTGGTCGTTTCGCTAGGGACATCCTCGAAATTCTGAAAATCGGTGGCACCCCTCACACAGATCGTGACGTCAGGGTCCAAAAACACATTGTAATTTCAAAAACACATTGTAATTTCAATGATTTTGACCCCGATTCTCAGAGAATGGCGGTTTCGCTTGAGACATCCTCCCAAAAACGAGCCCCGACGTACCTTCTGGTACCCCAGACCCTGGCTCGGAACCTCCTGAGGGCCTCCTGGAACCTCCTGGGGCAACCCCAGACCCCGCCTTGGAGCCTCCTGGGGGTCTCCTGGAACCTCCTGGGGCCTCCCGGGGCCTCCTGCGGCCTCCTGGAGCCTCTTGGGGCCTCCTGGAGCTGGGGCATCCTGAGGCCGCCTGGGGCCTCCTGGGGCCTCCTGGGGCCTCAGAACTACATGCACACACAGAGACACAAATCACACTCAACACATCACACGCTAGACAAACATAACACACACACACACACAACCTACAACGCACAGAAGACACGCACAACACAGAGCACACATCACACACACACCCGCACAACATTCACGATCCTGAGGCCTCCTGGAGCCTCTTCCTGTATCCAAGTCGGGCCTCCTGAGGCTTCCTGGGGGGCCCTGGTACACACATCGCAAGGTGTGGCAACCCCACTTGCGCTCGAGTGCGACCTCGCTATTGCATTTCGCTCCCAGCAGCTATCCTCCTCCTCTTCTCCTCCTTCTCTTTCCCTTCACAAATTGTCTGGCGAAACAAATCGGCTGGTGGGAATCGTGCTTACACTTCTCTTGTTAATCGCTTCGCTCACTCCGCCAGCCCATCTTGCATCACTTGTATGAGCCTGGTCACACACGTGCCACTTGTGTGTATGTATATATATATATGTATATACATGCTCATAACTGTTCATAAACATATTCGTAAGCATATACACACTAGAACCACGCGCGCTACGCGCGCTTATATTCTACTCACGGCTCGGCCATGGCTCTCGCTTTCGCTCGCGTCATGGGCGACACTGCGAGTTTTCACGCCAGTGGGATTTGCGAAGCCTCCGTCCTCCTCGGCCCTCTCATGTCCTCGTCCCTCTGGGTCCTCGCTGTTGCTGTGGTCTTCCTCCTCCTCCTCCTCCTCTTTCTGATCCTCCACCTCCTCCAATCCTTCTCATGATAAATCACTCCTCCCTGTCCCATCACTAGGCGAGTCGGAACAGCGGACTGGAGGTTTCGTCTGAGACTTCCTCACCATGTATGAATTTCATTTTGCATATACAAAAACCACAGTTTCACAAATCGAGGGCAGCTGGTCTTCAACATGTGGCTCTCGCCTTACCGCCGAAGACACTCCTTGACAATAAAGCCAGAGCTTCACGGATTGAGGGCGGGCGGTTTTCAAAGCGTGGCTCTCGCCTTAGCACCGCGCACATGTGTTCGAAAAACAAATTTGAAAAATTCTGATTGAGGGCGGGTGGCTTTCAGAACGTGGCTCTCGCATGAGCGCCTCGCACATTCGTCTTAAAAAGATGCAAGAGCGGTTCCTTTTCAAAATGTGGCTCTCGCCGTCACGCCGCACACATTCACCTGAAAATACTGCAACAAAAAGAACTGGTTTCCATGGTTGAGTTACCAGAAACGATCCGTTGGAGCGATTCACGATGTTCGACGTTCAGGGCGCAACCGATAGTAGTGATTCGCGGAGTTGAAATCCCAGAAATGTCCTTCTAGCACGATTCAAGATCGTCAAAACGCAGCAGTCAGGTTGCTTAGCGGCGTTGTCGTTCCGAGAATGGTGTTTTGGTACGCTTCAATAAATTCACACGGTTGTCTCCCAACGGGGCACTTCTCTCCGTAAAAACGAACCCATGTAGGGGCCTATGAGAAGGGAGCTTGGGGGGGTCATCCAACATCGTTGATGGGTCTTGGGTTTACGCTGGTCCTCCTCCTCCTCCTCCTCCTTCTCCTCGTGGAGCTCGACAGGGCGGGTTCCCCACTCGAGACTTCCCCGTAATTCGCTCACGATTGAAGCCTTCGCTCGAGACATCCTCACGTGCGGGCCATGTGAAAACATTACCAATTTCCCTCGTAAATTGCACTGGCGCTACGCTTCCTGGGCCCCAAACCTCCGTAACTTTCGCGGGGTCCGCCTCTCCATAACCTCATGGGGCGGCGTGGGGTGTCCAGGTGCCCACTGAAGCTATCCTGGGGCCTCCGCAGCCCGCTGTCTGCAGAGGACTCAAAGCGCGGGGGGGCATCCTCTAGCGGGCACGCACAAAACAAGCATCTTCACAGTTTCCCAAAAATCGCACTAGCACTCTGGGCGTAGGTGGTCTAGGGAGGCTCCTCTTCCAACCCCCTTTTTCCACTTCGGGGAGGCGTTTATCACTGTCGTTCCCTATTAATATACACCCCATCTCCCAGGCGACCGGCGGCCAACCAGGAACGATGCGGCCCCCCCCCCACCATCCCTGTCGAAAAACAATACAAAACGCACTCGACCTCCACATTTGGAGCATGCGCGGCCAGCCCGATGCGACACCCCCACCATCCCTATCAAAAAACAATACAACATACAATTTGGGGCAAAGTCTTGAGGCATGATCGTGAGGCCCGCGAGCAGTCGGTACAAGGACGGCGGAGGTGTCAGCATATTGCCTGCTGTGCGCAAGGCTACCATCCCTAGTGAAAACAAAACATACAACATGCACCTCGCGGCTAAATCTGGAACATGCGCGGCCACCTCACGATCACTGTGAAGTGGTGTATGACGTTTTTGACAAGGTCGGCTGGGGTGGTAGTGTATGGCCTGCTGTGCGCAGGCCCACCAGACACAATGATGGGCGTTGCTGCTCGACAAGGATGGTGGGGGCCGACATGTTTCCCGATCTGTGCTGCCACGTGCGCAGGAGCATCTGACACACTTTGCGCGTGCCCCGAACGTGGCGCACATGGCCCGGCTGAGTAGGCGGCACACCTGGCGCACGCGGAGCACATGATGCACCTGGCGCATCAGGCGTGCCTGGCACGCTCGGGCCCCAGGGGTGCCTGACGCGCGTGGCGCGCCTGGCACGCGTGGCGCACCTCGCCCCAGCATCGCGCATACCTGGTCGGTTCTGGTTCCCAGTAGCTGCTCATCAAAAGACGACCGCTGAACATGCTGAGGCTCGGGTGATACTTATGTGTTGGAAGGGCGGGTGTTAGACCCTTGCTAGAGAGCTGGACGGCTTACTATCTAGGGGGTGTCCTGACCCCTCCTCCATAACCGCCTCCCCTGGACCTGGACGGGGCGCCCCGCGAGCGGTCAGAGCATTTAAGATGGCCCAAGGTGGTTCCAAGAGGGCCTCAGAGAGGCCAAAATGAATTCCAAGACGGCCCAAAATAGCCCAAGATGGCTCAACATGGCTCCCAAGATGCTCGAAGAAGCCCCAAGACCGCTACCAGACGGCTCCAAGTGGCCACGGAGCCTCCCCAGGAGGCTGCCAAGAAGCCAAAAACCGAAAGAAAATCAACGAAGTTCGCTCTCTCGCCTATTTGTTTTGGACGGCCTTCCGAGGCCTGAACACAGCTCCACGAAGGCCCATGAGGGCCCCAAGAGAAACCCAAGACGGCCCCAAGACGGCCCCCAGACGGCCCCAAGACGGCCCCAAGGGGGGCGTGATCAAAGCTCCCCTCTTCCTTGATCGATAACCTCCAAGATGGCCCCAAGAGCCCTCCCAAGGCTCCCAAGAGCGCTTCAAGAGGGCCCTAAGAGGCGCCCAGGAGGCCCCAAGAGGCGCCCAAGAGGCCTCCAAGAGGCTCCCAAGAGACCGCCAAGAGGCCCCAAGAGGCTCCCCGAGGCACCTAAGACGCTCCAAGAGGCCTCCAGGACCGCCAAGAGGCCCCGCAGACGCTCCAAGAGGCTTCCAAAAGGCTTCCAGGAGACATCCGAAGAGACTCCTAGAGGCATCGCATTTAAGAGGCTTCTGGCTCTTCTGCTCGCCCTTTTCCTCCTCCCTTCCTCCTCCTCCTCGCCCTCCTCCTCCTCCTCCTCGCCCTCCTCCTCCTCCTCCTCCTCCTCGTACGCGTAGTCCTCCTCCTCCCCTCTCCCTCCTCCCTCTCCCCCGCCTCCTCCTCCTCCTCCTCCTCCTCCTCCTCCTTGTCCTTCTCCACTTTCTCCTCTTCCTTCCTCCTCCTCGCCCTCCTCCTCCTCCTCCTCCTCCTCACCCTCCTCCTCTTCCGACGTCGACGACGACGACTCCGACTCCGACTCCGACTCCGACTCCGACTCATCATCCGTCCTCCCCCTCTTGAGGTACGACGGTTTCTGCAGCCGTTTGTTTCTCTGCATGCTCCCCCACTTCCCTGATCTGGTTAACTCGTCTGGGCATCGCCTCTGGATGTGCTGCACTTCTCAATATCCTCCTCCCTTTAGACTCGGGTTACTGCTTGAAATCTATCAAGACTGGCCGGCGATGAGACTAAACATGCACACTTGACCTATGCACGACCTTTCGAACAAACGTAGAGCATGCTGCCAGCGCGGCGGCCTCAGACCGGAACGATTCGATCCAGGAGCTGTGAAATGCCCTATTCTCCTACTCCCTCCTCCCTTTTCCCCTTCTCCCCCCTCCTCCTCCACCTCCCTCCTCCTCCTCCTCCTCCTCCTCCTCCTCCTCCTCCTCCTCCTCCTCCTCCTCCTCCTCCTCCTCCTCTTTCTCCTGCTCATTCCTGTCCTCCTCATCCTCCTCCTCCTCCTCCTCCTCCTCCTCCTCCTCCTCCTCCTTGTGTTACTCCGCCATCCTCCCCTCTCTTGAGGTAGGACGGCCTCTCAAACCCTTTGATCCTCTGCGTGCTCCCCCACTTCCCTGATCAGGGCAACTCGCCCGGGCATCGTCTCTGGATTGGCTTCTCGCCTTTCCACTTCCGATGGCCTTCCGAGGCCTCAAGATGACAAAATGACCCAAAAAAGCCCCAGGAGAGCCCCTGGAGAGCCCCAAGACGGCCCCAAGCGCGCCCAAGAGCGTCTCAACAGCGCCCCAAGAGGGTATCATGAGGCGATTTGGAATGCTATCGAGAGGCGACGTTAAAGCACTCCCTTCTCTGATCGATATCCTTCAAGATGGCCCCGAGAGGGTCGAAGTTGGCGGAAGATGACCTCTAACGTGCCTCCAAGGGGCCCGAAGATGCCGCAAAGAGAAGTCAAAGATCGCCCCAGGACGACCCCATGAGCGCCTGAGAGCGCCCCAAGAGGGACGGAGTATTCATATTCCCACCAGCTCTCTGGACGTAGGTGGTCTAGAGCGGTTTCTCTTTAAACCCCTCCCTCTTCCCCTTCGGGGAGGGGTTTACCCCCTTCCCCTACCCCCTCCTTGAGGGCTGGAGACAATGGAACATCACCAAAAGAGAGCCCTGGGCCTTCGCCTTTTCCGGGAAAAGTCGACGACGAGAGAGACGAGACCGAGGCGGGGGCGGACGAGGACGACGACGACGACGACGACGATGGCGACGACGACGACGACGACGAGCAGCAGTTTGCTGTATTCAAGAGTGACCCTTGGCACGGGTGGCATTTGGGTGCGCGGCTCTGTGGGAAATCCAAGCGCGCAGGCCAGTGTTGGGGGACCCCTGGTGAGCCCGCACACCAAACGCCACAGGCGGAGGGTCGCTCGCACATGCGGCAGAAGGGCGACGACAACGAGAAAAAACTAACAATAAACTACAACGACGACGACAAGGATGCAAACAGAACGTTTGACTACGACGAACAGGGCGACGAAGACGACGACGATGACGACGACGACGCCGACGCAAGACCCACGATGATTACAACGACGAGGACAACGACGACGACGACGACGAGGCAAATTGGACGACCGCTACAACTACAACGACGACGACGACGACGACGACGAGAACGAAGCAGAAACGCAAGAGGACTACAACGACGTCGACGACGACGATGACGACGACGACAACGACGACGAGGCCCCTGCGCGCGCCCGGCGCTCGCGCGGCCGCGCACGCCAGGCCTTGGCCTCCGTGGATACGACGGCGGCGAGGAGCAGGAGCCTGGCTGCCCGTCGCGAAACGCGCCGCTCTTGGGCATTCTCGCTGTTGCTAACACCCAGCGCACACTGCATCGGCCTGGCCGCCGCCTGCTGCGAGGCAGGGATTTATCCATAGCCACCGCCTGGGGATCGATCTCTGGGGGCCTCGGCAAGCGGCGGAGAGGGATATACTCGGGCCCGGGAGAGTGCAAAAACATCATCGACCCGCGAACCTGGAAAGGGGTACAGAACTGTGAAGCAAGGAAACGTTTCGAAGACACCAGACTTAGACGACGGGCAACTGCAGCGCTCAAGGTAACGACGGTGATGTACCGTGCCAGGGGCTGTGCTGTGCCGTGCTGTGACGAATTCACTTGTGCCATGCGGCGTTGAACTGTGCTGTGCTCCACTGCATTGTGGATCTGGTCGTCCTTGGCGACAGCCTGACCGAAGTGATCTGGATTTTAGGCTCGAGCTACCTCAACGCATTGCTCGAACTGTCTGCTGTCGAGCCGCACAGGGTGCCCGAAAAACTCGGGCTCAATATCTGATTCAGTTCCGTAAACGGACGTACCAAGAGGGAACGACTCCAAACCGACGCGAAACGCACCGAGAGTGGACGGACCGAAGCGCGGCGAACCAAGACGCGACGAACTGCATCAAGACGAACCGAAACAATACGAACCAAAACGAACGCCGAATCGACCTCACCCGAAGCGAGACAAAACAAACCAAGACAGAGACGAGCCGAAAACGCTTCGGCTCACCATCCAGAAGCCCCATAGCGTTGACAAGGGAGCCGCACTCCGAGGTGCCAAAGCCCCTCGCAAATGACAAGGGCCACGATTTTAACGCAGACTGCAATTGATGTGTGCCGTGCTGCACTTTGCTGCGCCATGCTGTGCTGAACTTTGTTTGTTGCTTTCTGCTGCGTTGTAGATCAAGCCGTCCTTTGACGCCCCATTACTGTCCGAACTGATCTGGATCTTAAGCTCAAGCTGCCTACGCGCATGGCTCGCCCAGAGCAGTCTGCAGTTTAAACATGCGGGACGCAACAAGCTCGAGACCAAGATCCGATTCAGTTTCGAAGTGGGACGATCCGAACTGGGGGCAAACCCGAACCGCAACGAAACGCACCGGCACGACGACAAGGCCCCCGCCCGACACCTCTTCAAACAATACAAGACCAGCGTTTCGTGAGAGGCATCCGCAAAACATCCTGCTGACAAGCATTTCGGTGCAGTCGAGGCCCTCGCTCGAGACATCCTCAACAAGTCCTGCAGAAGAAGCATTTCGCTCAAGACATCCTCAACAATTCCTCATGTTAGACACCCGCCTGGGCGACATGGACATTTGACGCGACCTGGACAAATGTCATCGGCAAAGGCGACAGACGCGTGTTAGATACTCCTCCACGCGCGCTTGCTTCCAGCAAACCGTCCGAAGACCGCATGTACATCCCGTTCGTGGCCTGGTCACATGAAAACGTGCCAATTGCACAAGCGCCAATAACGTGTTAGATACCACTCCACCCACTCACACCCCGCGCACATATTGCTACGTGCGACGAGGCCGACGCACTCGGCGTAGAACATGGGAAGATATGCCAAGCGCGCCTCCGCAGGCGCCAGCTGCATGTTAGATACACCGTCCGCTCGATCAGATTAACGTCGGGGGGGCCTGGCGGTGACATGTTAGATATACCATCCCCCCCAATGAAACGTGGACACGCGAAAGCATGTGCCAAAAGACACAGACGCCTGACGCATGCTAGATACCCCCTCCGCGCGCGTAATTTCACGTGTGAGGGCACGACGACCACATTTTAGACATCCCGCTGGGGTGGGCTGGACACGTGAACACACGCGCTATAGGCACAGGCGCCAGACGCAAGTTCGATACCCCCTCCGCGCGCGCGCGTATTGGCGCGTGCGAACCGTCCGACGGCCTAGTTTTAGACATCCCCCTCGGGCGGCGTGGACACGTGAGAACACGTGCCAAAGGCACAGGCGTCAGACGCATGTTTGATACCCAGGCCAGGGTTGATGTCTGGATTCACTCCCATTTGCCAGGGCAGCCATGGCAACGAAGCGCAGACTCTGTGGCCCGCCTCACCCTCGTCGAGCGCTGGAACACAATGTGCGAACCTGCTTCACGGCAGTGCGACTAGATATTGGTCTTTCATTGCCCTTGAGCCAACATGGCTACGGAATTGCTTCATCCGGCCAGTTGGAGGGGCCGTCCTGGAGGCCTTTGGAGCCGTCTTCAGGCCCACTTCGGCCACCCAGGGCCGCTCTGGGTTGGGCCTCCTCAGGGCCATGTCGGACACTCTTGAGCCACTCGGGATGCCCTTCTGGGGCGTCTTGGGGCTCTCGTGGGCCATACTGGGCTCTGGGACAGACGTGGGCCCTTGGACGCTCGGGACATTTGGGGCCATACTGAGGCCATATTGGCGGCCTCTTGGCCAGTGGTGGGCGCCCTGAGAGGAGGAAGGGTAAATTAACATGTGTAACATGACCGACCCACAAGCCTGAAAGGGATTTCAAACTGCGAGGCATGGAAACGTGTCAAAGGACCTCAACTGGGCGATGGGCAGTGGTAATGCTGAAGATATCGATGGTGATGATACTGTGCCAGGGGCTGTGATGTGTTGCGTTGCGCTGTGCCGTGCCGCACAGTGACGTGCCAAGTGACGCGCCAAGGGACATGCCAGGGGGACGCGCCGGGAAACGTCCAAAGGCACGCGCCAAGGGACGTGCCAGGAGACGTGCCATGGGGACGCACCGCGGGACGTGCCAACAGGACGCGCCACGGAACGTGCCAGTGGACATGCCACGGGACGTGCCAGGGGACGCGCCGCGCGATGTGCCAGGGGGACGCGCCACGGGACGCGCCACAAAACGTGAAGGGAACGTCCTAGGCAACGCGCCATGGGACGCGGCACCGGACGCGCCAAAGACCCACCAAGGGACGCGCCACGAATCGCCCCGTCATTAGTCGAGATGTCAAGAGCCACGCGATCCTCGTAAATTACTCTGCGTCCGCGCTCCCTGGGCTAAGATCCATCGCAAATTCCGCTGGGCCCGCACTCCCAATGCCACGATCACTAGTAAGTGATGCTGCGTCCGCTCCCCCAAAAGCCACGATCCCTCGTAAATTACGCAGCGTCCGCGCTCACAATGCCACGACCCCTCCCAAATGAAACCATAGTCGCGCGCCCAGGGCCACAATCCATCGTAAATTACGCTGCGCTCCCGCTCCCAAGGCCACGATCCCTCGTGGCTTGCGCTGCTTCCGCGCTCCCAAGGCCACGATCCATGGCAAACCACGCTGCGTCCGCGCTCCCAGGGTGGCGAAGCACCACGCAGAAACCAGTACTTGTCTGATTTGGGATACGTGCTCGGGATATGTGTTCGGGTGGTACTTTCAGCCCCCCCGCCATTTCCTGAAAATCAAGCGCTGGACCCGAAGCAGCGAATCCTCAGAAATTACTCTGCGTCCGTGCGCCCAAGGCCGCGACCCCTCTCGCATTACACTGAATTCGCGCTCCCACGGCCGCGATCTCGCGTAAATTACGCTGTGTCCGTCCCCCAAGAGCCACGATCCATCGCAAAGTAGAATGAATTCGCGCTGGCTTCGCACTCACGGGGCCACGATCCATTGTAGATTACGCTGGGCTCGCGCTCCGAAGGCCACCAGAAGTAAGTGAGGAACCAGGCGTCTCGACGGCAAATCGGCAGAACAGATACCGTGCAAATGTACACTGGCAGGGTGGTGAAAACATCGATCGGCTGCGACTCTCTGCCGACTGCTGCTTTGAAGCTGCGGGGGGTTAGGCACAAAAAGATGACAACATTCGTGGCGGATGCTGGGATGTGTTCATGTTGCGTCACTGGCCGATGAGTTTTCCCGCGGCGTGGCCACAAACGACGACGACAACGACAACGACGACGACGAAAGGGGGGAGAGAACGGAGCGAGAGAAAGGGTGGAAAACGACAAGGGAGGCTGGAAGAGAGGCAAGGGAGGGGAGAGGGGGCGGGGCCATCGAACAACTGCCGGACATGCTGCTTTGACAGTGCGGGGGGGCACACGAAAAAACGTTGATGCATGCATGGCGGACGCTGCGTTGCGAGCTGTGCAAGTGGCCGCTGAGTTTTCCCACGTGGCGTGGCCACATACGACAACGACCACGACAACGACAACGACGACAACGACGGTGGGGAGGACGGAGCGAAAGAAACGAGGGGGACGACACGGGAGGCCGGAACAGAGGCAGGGGGGGAAGGCGGAACAATGGACAACAAACAAAAACAACCCGTGCGGGCTTGCCATCACTGTCCAAACAGAAGTCCGTAGACGCATGATGCCCGTTGCTCTTTGGACCTTCCGCGCGCGCGGCTCTCATCCAAATCTCTGGGCGTCTCAAAATTCGGATTGCACGTTACCTTGCGCACTGGGTGGTCCTCTGAAAACGAAACAATTGAATTGTAGAGCTTCTTATGGCGCTCAAAGAAGTCTTTGCTCAAATCATGCTCGCCCGTATGCTCCAGCACGCTGCGGTTCGACACTCTTGAGACGTAGGCGCATGAGATGCGGCAGATCTTCCGAAGGAACTGCACGTAGAACGCATTAAACCTGTCCTCGTCGGCCTCCCAGACAACTTCCAAGTTGTACAACAGCTTCGGTACCACGATTGAACGATGTAGTCGGAGTTTCTTTCCTCGATCTGGTGATGTTCGCGTGCGACCAGGATTGTTGAAGGGACTTGAAGAACCCTCTAACTTCCCCAACTCTTCGCGTGATTTCAGGCTTTGCAATACAGGTGGTGTTGAGAAGACCACCTAGATAGACTGCTTGCTCAACCTCTGTCAAGGGATGGCCGCGTGGGTCTCTGAGAGAGCCAGCATTGCGAGTCCCCACGGAGACCGTTTTTTTCCGGTTCAGTTCTAGCCCGCAACGCTAACCCTCATCAATGACCGCATCGAGAAAGGCCTGGAACTTGGACGCGCAGGTGTTGGCG